AGCTCAAGAACCCGGGCGTACGGACGTGACTAATATCACCCCACACCAGTGACCGCCCCCTTGATCAGCTGACGCAGATGCTCGGGGCTGCCACACCTGCAAATCCTACGTTCTACCACTGCACGTGGCGTTATTGTCACGAGCGGCACCTCCTCCGACGCCGACCGCCAGACCAACCGTGCTACCGGCTGCTGCCTCGGCTTGCTGTCGCCGTGACAGCAGGGTTGGGACCCGGATACGGGCCCGATCTGGCAGCGGCAAGGGGGGTGGGACCCGGATACGGGCCCATCTCGGCAGCGGCAGTTGGGGCGGGACTCGGATACGGGCCCGTTCCGGCAGCGGCAGTGGGGTTGAGACCCGGATACGGGCTCAGCTCGGCAGCGGCAGTGGGGTTGAGACCCGGATACGGGCTCAGCTCGGCAGCGGCGGTAGGGTTGAGACCCGGATACGGGCTCAGCTCGGCAGCAATGTTTGGCCGCCACGCAGCAGGATGGAGGGGGGAGGAAGCACGCGGTGGGGCGATCAGCGGGAGGGCCGCTGGGGGCCTCAGCATGGGCACCCTCCGGGCGGTCCGATGGTGCCATACGCGCAGCGGCTTCCCCCGCCCATGGGGCTGCAGCTCGGGCCGCCAACGCCGTATTGGCAGGCTGAGGGCGGCTACGGCGTGGTTGACGAGGCCGACAGGGAGGCCGGCATTGAGGAGGAGCAGGGCGTGCAGCCCGCCGAGGGTGCCGCAAGCGGCGCCGCTGCCGGCAGCAGCGTGGGCGGGTCAGCCGCCCGCAACCTGAAAGGCGAGGCCCGGAAGGCCGCGCCGGGCAAGAAGTAGCTCAATTTCTGCCCCAGCCGTGCGCCTGGCTCTCCAGCCAGCGCTCGGGTGCCTTGGTTGCGCGTTCGCGCAGCCGCCTCGCGGCAGTCCTTGCCGTGCGTGTTGTCAGCTTTCCCTTTTAGCACCGTCCAGACACTTGCCTGCTCCTTTTTGCGTTATACGTGGTAAACACATCACCAGCTAGCGTCGGCACTTGGCCGTTCAATTGAGCAACCAGTCCCAGAGGTGGACAGTTTAGACTGGAAGGGCGCAGGCAGACGCGCAGTATTACTAGGTCCTTAGCGAAAGCCGCGACCTGCGAGCTTGGTGTGCGTGCGGGTGATCAGCCTTCGGGTTTAGAACAGCGCATCAGCCGCCCACACACACCGGCCAGCGCTATGAGTCATCACAGCAGTCAGGCGGACTCCGCCGCCCCGGGCCATCCGCCGGCCAGCCTCACGGGGTCTTCGCAGGGCAGGGGACCTCGCGCCATCGCAGCCGCTCGCCCGGCATCTCCGGGCCGTGCCAGCCGCAGCTCGCTGCGCGTGGACGCGACCGGTGCGGGGCGCGCAACCCCCGCAGGGTCTTCAGCTTCCACGCCTCTCGGTGCGCGCAGGGCCTCAGCGTCGCCGCGGCTCACGCGCATCCAGCACAACATGCTGCCGGCTGCCGAGGACGTCCTTAGCGTGATTGCCGCCATGCATGAGCGGGTTCGTGCCACGCTTGACGCAAACACGCTCGCCCTGCACCGCATGGAGAGTACGCAAGACAGACTGGTCGGCGCGATAGAGCGCATGCTGAACCGGTGGGGCGCGATTCCTGTGGACACAGTGGGGGCGCTGCCGCCTGCAGGGCCCCATCCGGAGGCGCCTGCTCGCCTGTCCGGCGGCCTGCAACAGCACTTGGCGCGCGCCTCCCGCCTCGTGGCCGCGCCAGCCCCAACTCGGCCGCCGCCTGGCACGGCCGCAGCCGCCCCAGCGGGTGCGACCATGCCGGCGCGTTCAGTAGCGACGGACCCGCTGCCGGCAGGCCGCCCCGGTGTGCCTGAGGTGGCGGGCGCACCCGCGGGCGGTGCCGTTTCCGGCAACTGGCAGCAAGCGACCCACGGAGGGTTTGATGGTGGGCGGGGCGCCAGCGGTGGCACCTTTGGCCTCGGGGGGGCGAGCGGCTCCCCGAGCGCTGGGCCCCCGGGCAGGGGCATGCCCGACGGTGCTGACCTGGGCGACCGGGCTCGAGAGACGAGCGGTCCTCCTAGTCTTCCCCGCGCGGTGGTCGCTCCGGCCATCCAGCCAGCGACCGTGACCAGGACAACCGCGCGCCCTACTACTTCTCCAGTGACCCGTTCTCCGGCGCGTGGTACCGCACGGACGCGTCCGCCACCGCCGGGGAGTCGCAGGCTAAGAAGGTGTTCCGCGCGACGGCCCCCAAGCTGTCCGTGCGCGACCGCGGTATGCAGCAGCAGCGCAACCTGCAGCTCCTCCGCGTTTACCTGAGCGCGCAGTTGCACAACTCGCGCGCGTTCTGCACCGCCGCCAACGTCAGCCTGCACCTGGCTGGGTGTTTTGACGCGGATCTGTCCGCGCGGTTTGAGCGGGTGCAGGAGACTGTCGAACGCAGGCTGTGCCAGGAGCTGCAGCTGGACGGGCGCGACCGGCTCATCCCCGCCAGCGCCATCGACAGCACCGCGCGCCTCGCGTCCAGCGCCGTCAAGCGCTACGTCTACCGTATGCAGCTCGACTACGAGCGCGCCATGGTGGAGCAAATGCGGCAGGGGGCTTGCACAGAGGGCTGCGATGACGTCCCTGAGGACGAGACACCGGGGGGGTACATTGACCGCTTTGTGCTGGCCGCCAGTGACCCCGACGTTAAGCAGCAGCTTTCCACGCGGCAGATGGTGACTATTGTGTCTGGTGGTTTCCACACTGCCGTGGCCGCGCTTTGGGCGGGGCGCCGCGCGTCGCCAGACTTGCTGCGCATCAGCAACTCCGGGGACCACGACCTCCTGTTCAGGCGCCTGGCCGATGAGGCGCCGCTGTTGGATGACGAGTGGGACAGGATTGTCACCCGCACAGCGCTCAGAGCTGCGCATGCCGCGCTCGACAAGCGGGGCCCTGCTGCGCCACAGGGATGCGTGCCGCGCGCGCCTGCCACGATGGCGCGTCAGATCGCCACCGCCGCGCAGCCGCAGCTCGATCGCACGCCTGGTTCCCAGCACGCCCGGCTCACCTGCTGCCGCTGTGGTGGCATCGGGCACATGGCTGCTCAGTGCGCCACGCCGGAGCAGTTTGCGCACGCGTCCGCTGCTGAGGACGGCGGCGACGACGACGGCGCAGCACAGTGCACCCTGGCAATTGCGCCGGCGGCTGAGCATGCGCTGGTGACCTGGGATGCTGCAACATGCACGGTGCCCGGTGTACTGGCCGCGGCGCCCGCGGCCGCAGCGCCGCCGCCTTCCGCGAGCGCCCCGCTGCCACCGCCGCTTGCCCCCACGGGTGCACAGCGTGCGGTTCGGCCCTTGACGCTGCGGCAGCTGTTCCGCGACGGCGGCCCGGCGCTCGCGCGGGTCTTCACGGACGGCTGCATGTGTGTTGGCCTCCGCAACGTTCTTCCCACCTTGAGGGCCTCCGACCCCCTCCTCGCAGTGCTCCCTCCGCTGGCTGCGCCGGCCGAGGTAGCAGGGGGGGAGAAGAGGCAGGAGGAGGGTCTGTCGGCAGGGGCGCCTCGCCCGCGCAGGTGCCTCGCCAGCCGCGTGGCAGCGGCGGCCGGCATGCCCTTCGACCCCGGTGACGCACTCGTAAGCAAGGATGCGGTCATAGTCAGTGACAGGACAGCAGAGACGGTCAAGGGCCTTATGCAGCATGTGGAAAGCGCCCCGGGCCTTTTCTTTCACAAGCAGGACTCAGCTGCTGACAGCTTGCAGCTAGTTGTGGAGACCAGGGGGGGACGCTACATGGTCATGCCCCCGCGCGTGCTGGACGACAGCGGGGCCACCTGCAACCTCATCTCGGCCAGATACGCAGCGCAGATTGGGGCTAAAAGCGTGCCTGTGCGCAGCACACTTAATGGATCAGTGGGGGGCCCACGGACCATCACTGAGGCAGTGTGGGCAGACGTGGTGGTGGCGGCGGGTACAGATCATCAGCAGACTGCAGGAGAGCAGCTATTTTACGTAGCACACGGCGACCAGCTGTTTGACGTCCTCATCGGCACCGGGGTCACCAAGTTTGGGCCTCTGCAGAGCCATGTTGATGGCGTGGACCACCGCTACTATTACACCACACAGCTGGGGCACCGGCACTCGCTGCCCATGCTCTCCAAGCGCAAAACACGCAGCGGGTCAGCCCCCAAGGCGGTCCCCACCGTGTGTGAGGCGCCCAATGAGCCGTTTCCAGCGTGATGACACCGGCTCAACGGGGGCTGTGGCAGCAGCGACAGTAGCAGTAGCAGCAGCAACACTAGCAGCAACAGCAGCAGCAGCAGCAGCAGCAGCAGCAGCAGCAGCAGCAGCAGCAGCAGCAGCAGCAGCAGCAGCAGCAGCAGCAGCAGCAGCAGCAGCAGCAGCAGCAGCAGCAGCAACGGTAGCAACCGCTTGTCAGCGGCCTCGGATGGAGCTCAGAGTGTCAGCACCGGTTGCAAAGGCAAGTCTGAGCAAACAGCAGACCAACATGCCAGGCTGCAATGATGAAAATCACAATGATGGTTAATGAATTTTTTTTATTGCTGCCGCGTCGTCAGCCAATTATCCCAATGCTTCAGCCCAATTACTAACTCGTGCGCATACCTTTGGCAAGTCAGCTCAGTGCTTTAGCCCAATGATGATGCATGATGATTCAGCCAGCCAGCCGGCCGCTTCAGGCCTACAAGTCAGCGTGAGGTTCTCACAGGAGGTTTTATTTAAATTGCAATGCGATTTCAACCAGTGTCAGTCAATTGTTCCTAGAAGGGTTTCTCGTTGCGCGCTCGTGCTGATCGCTCCCCTCGTCGTGCAACGAGAAGGGGGGAGGAGAGATGCGAGGCGCGGCTGGCCGGCCTGTGGCCAGCGGCCGGCCTGTGGCCACTGGTTGAGGAATGGACTGGCGGCGGACTGGGCCTGGACTGCCATTGACCGCCAGCTTACAGCTCGGCAACAGGGCAGCGGGCAGAGTATTCGGTCAGGTTTCGGTACCGGACAAAGTATGGCGCGACAGCTGTCATGCCACCA